GTTTTACCAAACAATTAAAATGTGCTTTCAGACAGGCAGGGAGAGGAGGGAGYTGGGCTGTGACGGATTTGAAGCGTTGTTTTAGGAAAGCACTACAGCTACAAAACCCACACTCTCAGTGTTTCGGGAGTTCACTCTTTGTTTTAGTGTCAAGAAGAATATTCAAATTATTTTATAGTGTTTATTTTTTTAAATTAAGACAGTCCACAAAACCTAATCTGAAGCAGAGCATAGGATTCAGTTCCTTCTTTTTTCCCAGATCTGTTTCTTAGTTGGTTTTTTTTTCCCCAAATAATTAAAAAACCCCTCAACAACAACAACCAAAATAAAATAAAATGAACGACTTGCAGTTCAGAGAGCATGAAAAAAAGGGTGGTTATTTTCTTCATTCACTGAATTCACCTTAACAAACTATTTTGGAATTTCATTTGTTTGAAAACTGCAGCAWATTTATCTCCCAGGCAGTTTAGGGCACTAATCTGTTTGACATTGAAGAAAAGTAACTGAAGAAAAACCCACCTCTTTCCCACCCCCAAGCAGAATTGCCAATTAATATGATTCTGTTAGTCCTGACCAAACGGGAGGAATCACTGAGGTATTATGGGAGATGCATCTAAGGGTCACATCTCACTTCAGAGTTAAGAATTTAATATAAAGAAAAATAATTATAAAGGTTTTCTCTTCCYTTTGGTATCTGCAAAATAGGTGCTAAACATGAAGATACTTCTGTGTTTGTTGAGGTGTCAGAGCAGTCTCTGGGCAGAGTTAGCAGAGCTCTTTGTTTTCTCTGCTAAATCTTGAAATCAGCCTCCCCTTTTTTAGCTCTAAAACCCCACCAGTAAACACTTGTGCAGATGGAGTTGGCAGATTTGAAAGGAGCCGAGATATAGAAATGGAATTAGGAAATTAGAGTTTGCTTATCAAACAGTTTCGTTGAAAGGGCTCACAAAGCTTCAGGTTAAACTTGGGTGTTTTAGAGGGGTGAACATGTGGCTGTGATCTTAGTTTGACCATGTTATAAACTGTCCTTTCAAAAAGAAGTAGAAAACTGCAGATAGAAATGTTCACAGCTTTGCTTGGTTTGCTACTGAATTGCAGTCTAGAACTGATTTGAAAACTCATTTCCATCGCTTTTAGCTGTTAACCAATATAACTTTGTTTTAAGCTTGCAGACTTAGTGAATGCTTCCAAAATTAAATTTAATCTTTGTATTCCTCATTAGCACCAGTGAAGCTTAATTTTAAACTATGTTTATAAAAAACTTTGTTTCAAGATTAATTTCCCCTTCCCTTACAACTTGTGTGGTTTGCTCTTCTCACAAATCCAAAACAATAATTATTGGCATTTTCCTAAATTATTTTCTCTCGAGTTGTGTGCCAATTATTCAAATACATCAAGGATTAATGGTTCAATTATATTTAAAATATCACTTATAAGTTCACACCCAGTTTCCAGGCACCTCTGGTTAACCAAGAAGAGCACGTACCTTTCGTTATAATTTAGTGTTCCTCATCACTTGTAATGAAAGATACTGAATTAGTTCAACATGACTTTATTGGCACAAGAGGAAAAATGAAAATAAATGAATTAACAAGCCCTGGGAAATGATCTTTACAATTACAGAATTTCTTTGCTTCATATCTCACACACATTGTGCATTTAACCACAGGAAAGTGGAGRGTGCTTAAGGTGTAAAAGACCCTTTAGAAATATTTCAGTCAACACTGCTAGCTCTTGAGCATGTTTAKGTTTGCCTTTCATGTCAATGGGGGRAAAATAGCAATGAAATTTTGGTGTTTATACACCTAGGAGCTGGGAAGTCCTGGTTAAATATACCAATAAGGAGCTGGGAACATTTATGTGAGAATGAGAGCTTCTTCCTGCTAATTGAAATCTGTACCTGGAAAATGGTAACCCACAAGAAGAACTAATTTTTCAATCAGAGCTCAAACTGGTCAAGAGCCTGTGACCAAACCCAGGACTAATTCAGATATGGTTTTCTATAAACACTCTCTTACAGAATAGGAGCTTTTTCTGTTGTGGAGATGGAATTCAGATTGTAGAAGTCATCTGTTAAGATCAAACAGATAACAGTGTCTTTTCAAAACATTTTAAAATATTCCTTATCCACGCTGTTATCTTTGTGACTAAATGATTTTAGCAAATGCTGCAGGGAGTGTGACATTARCTAACAGAGTGCAAAGGGTCCCTGTTTGTCTCAATCCTCTGAGTRTTCCTTGTAGTGGGCTAAGTCCACATTTAAAACATTCAAATGCTTTTCCCCAAATGACATCAAAGACTGTTTAAATCAATATTTGGATGATCAGGGAGCAAATGTTTGAATTTGGGAAGGAAGGGGCAAATGCAGCCTGTGCGTGGTTGCTGTAGCACATCACACAYGATTTGAGGTGGGCAAAGGTTGTCACAGGGCAGAGCTGCTGCAGGAAAGGAGGAAAGGAAAGGACAGCAGCTCCTCAAACGGTCAGAGGAGGTTTGAAGGATTTCATGACTGGGCAATTCCAYCAGGCAGATTGAAAATGGGAGGAATTTGCACTACCTTCAAGGAAGCTTTGATTTTTGTGCAGACAATATTAACAGGGAATTAGAGGTTCCCAGGGCAGCATCAGTTCTGCAATTCTTCCAAATACTTGATTCAGTATCATCAGTGAAGAGGTTCCTTTGTGGCAGAAASCAGACAGCACCTTTTTGTGACCTAAGCTTGGAAGGAAACTACTTTGGTGCGGTGAACACCACCAAAACCCTTTTAAAGGTCTGGAATTTARGAGAAAATTTTCTCTGTTAAGACCTGACAGCAGAAACTTCAGTGATCATAATGTCTCTGTTCAGGCAGTTTTTCTCTTTGCCATGTAAACTTTAAAGAGAGTAAAGGTGTAGATCAGCTGTGATTTAAAACAAAACAAAATAAAACAAAACCAAAACAATAAAACCACCACACAGTAAGAACACCTCAATAACATTTTGAACAAACTATTAAGGTTTGTTCCAAGCACACACATAAACTTTGTTCTAACAGGGGAAGGCTCAAATACAGTATCACATTTGTTTACTACATTTACCTGTCTCTTGGCAGAGCTACCTTGGCTTCAGCACAACCTTCAGAATTTGCTGGCTAAAATTGCTATTCATTAGCTGCTGGAAAAAAAAGTAAACCAGCTTTTCTCTGCTGCTCATGTAGAGAATGTGTCCTCTCTATCTCACTATTCCTCATCCAAATTAAACATTTCATTAAAAGGTATCAAAAGAAATCCCTAAAAAATTTAGGGTCATTATGTGACAGGATATTTGTTTTTATTAAGGGTATGTTAAACTATCCTGATCCAAATAACAATTAAGATAACATCTCYTTAAGCTACATTAATTCAGACTCTAAAGTCCAACATGTATATGGCAAAGTGTGCAAATTAATAGYTAAAGGATGTTGTGCACTTAAACCACACTTTGAAACAACAGACCGTTCCAAAGAGATTGTACACTCTCATCTCATTTTATTGAAATTAATCAAAATTAAACAAATTCTCAAGATGTCAGAAGTGATTGTAAAAAAACAATGTGCATTGCAAACCCCACCACCTAAACAGCCATTATGTTTAAAGGAAATCTGTGATCTGCAACTAATTAGGAGCAAAATGGTTGTAAAATATTTAATTTGTGAGTAACATTTTAAATTCAGTAACAGCTATAACAAAATGGGTAAGTAAATGACATTAATCACTCCTGATACTAAATTATCCCTCTTTTGCTTCTAGGACTGGAATCACACTGGCCAATGTTTTCTATTAGTTAAACACATCCATAACCCAATGAAAGCCTAGAAGGCAATTTAGCTAAGGGGGATTCCAGCATCCCTGTTATTCCTTTATTTTGGAGACTTTTTAGGAATCATGTAACTGTTTCAAAGAGTCACATCTTGAGTTTTCAGCAGAGGTAGTGAGTATGATTTTCCTGACAAGAGCTATTTCAGACAGGTAGAGCAATATTTCCTGCAGTGAATACTAAACACCAAGAAATTACTTCAACAACTAAAGAAAAACACTGCTCTCCAGCCTGCAATTCTTCCTTTTTGGTTTTGTTTCAAAGAAAAATAATTTTTGGAGGTTGYACTAAATAATGCAACAATATGTAAGAGGTTATTTTCCACAGTGAAGCTGTTGTTTCCCTCCAAATGTGGTATCTTGTTTGGTTTTATTAAATTACTGACAAGTGCAGCAAGTGGGTGCAAGTGCTCAGCTCCTCCATCCCAAACACTCCTGTGTGGTGTCTCCTGTGTGATGTAACTGCCAGAGACATAAGGTCTCACTCTCACCTGTTTTCCAGTTTTTTACATTCCCTCTGGCTGTCCATGCCCATTTCTCATTTCATGAAAAGCAAAATTGTATTTTAATATATTTTTTTAAAAGAAAATAGACTCATTTTTAAAGCCYATTTTAATACATGAACATCCCAGATTAGATTCAGCTTCCCAAGATGAATTATTTCCTGCTTTTCTTTCTTGTAAATATCTTCCACCACCAACCACCTTCTGCAGATAAAACTTTACCAATTAGTCATTTACAGACATAAACTCACAAGGCAAAAAACAGCCTTTGCAGCTCTAGGCCTCTTTGATGATGATGATGTTTACAAATGCTTTCACTGCTGGGCTAGTAATGTGCACTTTGCCATTAGCTCTCTGAAACTGTTCCGCACACAAAATGTGCCTTTCAGCAAGGCAGATGGTAAGAAAGATTGTTCCTTTCATTATATGCAGGACACTTATAAAATAAATAGTGGCTGGGGTGAATGTACCGATTTCTTCAGACTGAAAAAAGCTGTCTTGTTGTTCAAAATGATTTCACTGGCAGAACAGGTCACTCGCATAAATATCTGTCCTGGGGAGATTTCCACCGTTCTTGCATTGCCACTGTGCCCCCCAGCAGCTGACGGGGTGAGGGCTTCTGGTGCCAAGTGCTTTACACACTTATTGTGAGGCAGCCCTTGTGTATGAGAAGTGACTGAAATCCTTCTTTTCTCCACCGTGGTTTTTTTTCAGTTCCTATGAAAATTTGCAGTTCCCTCCTTTGGATGTCAAGTGCATCAGGACATGCTAGTTCCCAACAACACTGTCATACACAGCAGAACAAAAGTTCTGCGTTTGATGGGGATACAGGAGCTGAAAAGGGACAAGAGAGACATGAATAATCTGCACTGCCTGAACAGAAGCAGGAGTGGGTTCCTGAACTGTGTCTTGCAGGAAGGGTAAGTGAGAGAAATGGCAGAGCCCAAGCAGCCTGCACTCATTTAGGAGAGGAATAGCTGTTTCCATAAAGGAGAGAGTGGGTAAAGTTTATCCTGTACAAGCACCCCAGGGGTTAGAGCCCTTTTATTGCTGCAGGCAGCCTTGGCTGAACAGCTGAGTGTCCATTTGGAGTCAGGCAGAAGAGAGCACGRAGTACATCAGCTCAGCTCCTCTGTGCCAGGGTGTTCTCTCTGTGCTCTGSTTTCCCTTCAGTCGCTGGCTGGGACTGACCATTCCCACTCCTGTGACAGCTTTAAAGRAGCTGATCCCAACACCACCAGTTTTTGCTTTGCAGGCGACCAGAACAGCACATTGAGAGCAGGCAGCATGTTTAGGTACTAAACTCAGATCCTGTCTGAGTAGCAGACACTGACAGAAATGTGGTTAGAAAGATCAATCAGCTGCTCTCTCCATTCCCTTCCTCACCATGCTCTGCTGTGGYATTTCACAGGAACACCTAAGCACCAGCTGAGTATTGAGTTTGCTTGGATATYTATTAAAATAATTTAATAGCTAACTTTGCTATTTCAAGAAAGAGAAAGTAGCTAGAATGAATGAAATTGAATCTTTGACCCTGTGATGCAAAACTTGTTAGTCTCTGTTAGACTTCTAATCGCTAAACTAAAATGCAAGTCAAAGATACAGGAATCAATTGTAARAAAAGAACTAAAACTTGGGGAGGTAAGAGAAGAGAACAAATGATCAGAAAAGAGGGATGAAAGCATTTTTCAGACCAACCTAAAAATTTTCACAAAATGACATAGAAAATAAAGACTTCAGATATCTCCAGATAGAGAAGGAGCAGTTTCTAAAATTGTTCTGCTAAGAAAGGGAAAGAACTTGGGTACTTCTTGGGGAGAAGCTCCATTTGCCTTTTCCTGCACTGGGCAGCCATCACTGGCACCTTGGCCCTGGCTCAGCTGGGTAGAAAGGTTCTGAGGGGAATGTTTCCATATTTGTCCTGCTCCTCCATCCATCTCCCTGGGGGGAGTATCCCTGTTGAGAGATGACAATTTGGTCATGCACCATTGTGTACATTTAAATGCAAGAACAGAAAATGCTCAGAGTGACTCTGGGTTCCTGYGAGTCTGCCACTGGGACATTTGCTTCCTTCWCTGAGGGTAAAACCACGGACACATCTTACCCTGTTCTGTACTTACATGTTGCTGGGAAAAGCAAACATCTTGGTCTGTACTTGTTATATTTGTACCGTCTGGTTAGCTGTGTGAGGGGCATARAGTTCTCTGCTCTGGAGAGAAAATRGGAGAGGGAGCTGAAGTTTTGATCATGAATCTTGTAAACTGTGTCTTGGTCAACAGAAAAATGAATGAGAGGATCCTCAGTACAGGGATCTGCTTAAATACACGTTCTTAGCACTTGACACTGAGATTGCCAATGATCACAGCACCCTGATGCTTTCATAATCTGGCGTGTCCACAGTCCAGGCTTCTTGGATTTCAGTTATATCCTTTTGTCTCATGTTTGCAGCTAATGCAGGACAGGAGTCCCGTGGCTGMATTCCCAGAGAAGCGTGTCTCTAGAATTTGTCTGAGACACCATCTCCTGTAGGGAAAGTGACTGTGGGACTCTGGGTTCAGCCCGAAGCTGGACAAAAACATGGTCCAGCCCATTGACAGGTTTTCACCTGCCTTTCCTTCCCTGACATTGTTTCCCAAAATTCTGTAGGAATTAAAYAATAAAATGTTTCATTTTGATGAAGAGTTTGATACTGTTTCCATTGATGCACATCTGTGTGGTAGGACTCTGCATCAGCTGCTGAATTTTCTGAGTACTACTGATAGGAATGACAGGTATTTGCTAYTCCTTGGGGGGATCCTTGGAAACTGCATGATTTCTGTGATATCTTATCATCAGAGGAGCATAGGCATGGCCACACTTCACCAAAACAGTAATCTACCTAAGGTTGTCCCAAGACAAGATACTGATCTGATTTCATGTACTCATAGAAGCTAAGGATGGGAAAATCTCTCTCAGTCCCTGCAGTCTAATTTCAGCTGTTACTGGGACATCCTCTACACTGAGAGATGGAGTTCACCTCTCAGAAATCTCTCAGCAACAGGTGAGCAWTATGAATGGAAGGTGAGGACTGAAGAAGCCGAGTTTGATTTCCCAACTCTGCACAGGCTGTCAGTAAGGTCAGAGCTGGGATCTGACCACATTAAGCAGTACTGTCCAATGCAGAGTAGTTTTTATTTTACTGCCTGGGTACCAGCTCAATGCTTTCCTGTACAGGTTTGTTTTATACACTGTGTTTAGAAACGGCTCATTTGTCGTGCTTTAAGAAGACACGGAGTATCACTGTTTCCAACTCTTTGAACGTGGAAGGCTGATTAATTTCTAATTTGGACACTTAATTAAGATTAAGAGCTTGGAACRGTTTCCATCTGAAAGCAGTGAGACTTTAGCTGCTGATTTTGAATGCAGGTAGAATTACACTGTCAGGCTGTGTCAGTGCAGTACAAAAAGTGCACCAGAGTGCTAAAGAAACAGACTTTCRGCTAAAGTCCTGAACAGAAGTCTGGAGAGCTTCCAGCTCCTASCCAGCCAACAGTATCTCCTGTTGAAATCATTGATGTGGATCRTTGTGAGGATTGAAACTGCACTTCTGGATGAAAAAGTTTTCGTTGAGGAGGCTGCCTGTGTGTCTCAATGGAGAATATCTGTTCAAAGCCACAGGACACCATCCTCAGTGCTTGCTTTGGAATGATTCTTTTTTTTTGTGGCAAGACAAGAGACCAAGGCATTGGTACCCTATTCCTGGTGGCCAGGGAAGGGCACCCCAGGAAGAAAAAAAATGGATAGAGAGACTTAGATCATGCCTTGCCAGCACAAAGATGGCCCTCACTGGCTGCAGAATCTCCCCACATTTTAGAGCAGTGCTTTGCTGTTCCTTATGTGCTCAAGCAGAGCAGACACACCCACCTCCAATCCTCCTGCAGAGATTGAGGTCTACTCTTGCTCTCTGCCACAGTTACCCCSCTTCAGGCCAGGAGTTATTTCAGTTGAGGACAGACAACCGTCTGCATGCCCATCACATGCTCAGCTCACAGAATTCAGGGAGGGAGCAGCAGAGGAGCACCCAGGGCTGTGCTGCTGCCCCAAGCAGGGCTGTGCTTGGGGAGGGGACAATCTGAAGTGGCCCCTTGGCCCTGCCCCTGCAGAGAGCTGCACTGACAGGCAGGAGCTTCCTGTGCCAGAGACCCTCCATTCACACAAGCCAGCCCAGCAGCAAGTAGGTGAAGATCAAAAAAACTGATTGGTCAAGGATTCCTCATATTCCCTTTTCACTTTCCAGTAAGTTGTGCCTTATCTTGCCTACACTTTAGGATCGCCTGGTGTTTGTGAGCTATTCATTAAAGCAGGCAAAGCCCCTTAGCACTTAGCCAGCTGCACTGAGCCTCCCATTATAGGAACTCCTTCCCAGAAAGCCCCACTGCACTGSGGGTTAGGATTTAAGTTTGGCAGGCCCAGGCCACTTCACTTTATTCTGACTGTTCTTTGCTGCAGGTTCCTCTCTGCTTGCTGGTGAGTGAGTACCTTTAGCCTGTGTTATTTCTCCGTGTTTCCTTTTTCTCTTTGTTAAAGGCAACGTTTATCACTTCAGGAGCTGCTGTTATCCAAGGTTCTCAAAACACGTGGACTCTACAACAATAGACACAGACACAATGTTGCTCAGRRTAGCAGCTTGCAATTGYAAATTTGGAGGCATTTTGTGAAAGTGATTGTTGTATCTCCTTTACAAGTGCTGTTTCTGTAGCAGAGAAGTGACGCTGCCTGCCCTCACATCTCATCTGGGACAGAACACGGATCATGGAGCGCTGATCTCAAYTGCTCTTGCTCTGTTTGTTTCCTTGGCCTTGTTGTGCTTATGCTGCAGAGCACACAAACAGGGTCCTTGGAGTGGGGTAGGATTGCAAACACCCCCACACCCACAGGTGGAACTTGAGTACATTTTCTTTTCAGAGTGGCCACTGGCACAAAGTTCAGGTATCCTTGCAAGGAAAGCCCTGCATTTAATTTGTGACAAGCAGTTCTGTTGTGTTCTCTGCTTTCCTCAAGYGCTCATTCTCTCAACTCTGAACATCACCCTAGACCTTGCTGCTGTAATTACTCTGCTTCTTCCTTGTGTTGCTCTAAATTTAGTTTTCGGATGGTGAAGTGTATTGGATAAATGAGGAATTGTACATGTCCAGGGTTTTGTTTTAAAATATCAGATGGAATAATGGTACCCAGCTGAAAACTAACAGGACTTTATTGCAATTATGTGATCATTTTCCTTTGAAGGAAAGGTTTTTTCCAAGCCCATCAGCACTGGTGAGCAGAAAGAGAAAATGATCAAATGACAACGTTTGCTTAGTAAAACAGCTGCTCTTGCTATAGCCATGAGTCAAAATCTGTTTTACTGTAAAATTTCATTGGCGTCAACTGGAATTTTGCCTGAGTAAGGTGCTTGAGATTTTTCTTCAAGTAACTTTACAGTTACTCGACATGGAGAATGGGTAATCACGTGACATTCCTGACACAATATTATGTTTCCATTCTTGCTGCATGAACATACTTATCTGAAGATTAAGTAGATTTTGCACTTACAAAAGTGCATGCTCATGCTGAAGGCAGACAAAGACCTCAGAGCTGTTGTGCCATTGGAACTTCAGTTATTTATCCAACTGTCCACCATGGCAGGAGTTTTTCTGTTAAATATGTAATTCCCCCTTTTTTTTTTTCCTTAAACAAGAGAACCAGAGGGTGAAAGGGTTGAAGATTAAAATGTAAACAGCAAAATTTATTATAATTACAAGAGTGTTTCAAATTATTTCCTTAAACTGCAACATAATTTACCTCTAGTCAAGGTCTCTATTGGTGGTGAAAGAGGAAACTGCTTGACCTTGGGGTGACCTCTGGCCCCCGGGGGTCAGCGCCCGAGGAATGTGCAGATGTC